AGCTCTGTTCAGTGCTCACCCCCTGGCCCTGTCCCACCCCACCCCCCAGTCCTTCTTTGTACACATAATCCAGGTGTCCTCCCAGTTAAGATTAGATGCCACCAGGGAACTCAAGGCGTCTTGAGGAAAATGTTATCTTTGAACATCTCTTTCTATTAGGAAAATAGTTGCTATGTTCTTGATGATGTAATAATAGTAACATTCGTCTTACTACCATAATATGGGTATTTAGATTTATGTTGTTGTCGGTATTAGTATATCATTGCATGATATAATGTTAATATATGCTATAATGTTCATCAAAATTAATATCTAGTAGCTACCATGTATTAATAAGTATTAACCTCCCATGTGTTCCAGCCTTTCCAAAGGACTTTTGCTACATTATGGAAGTCAGTCCTCGCAACAATCATATGAGAAGGATATCACCAATTCTAGCTTACACATGAGACTGAGGCTGAGTCAGGGGCCCCAGCTTGCCCAAGGTTTCAGAGCAAACTAGGAGACCTGGGATCTGACCTGACCTGGCTCCTGGCCCACACTGGACTCTGATCAGCCTTCTTTATGTTGTGCTTATGTAGAGCCTGTTCCCCACTTTTCTCATCAGAAATTCAGGTGCAACAAATACTACCTACATCATAGAGCTGCCTAGGAGGTTAAACGTACTGATAGGTGTAAAGCCTTTAAAAAATTGCCTAACTCATACATAGTAAGTTAAACCCTCAATAAATGCTTACTATTTACGTGATCGAGCTGAAATTTTTCTCCATAAAACATTTCCATTAACAAAATTGATTCTCTCTCCAATTAATAAATAATTTTTTCCATTTCAAAGTATTATCATCTTCACATTTTTTCACTGTTACTCAGGGGTAGTTCTTCATCTTTTCGTATACTCATTCTCATGATTTACATTAAGATATTAAGATCTATTTCCTTAGTGGTGCAATCTAAGCTGCAAATAATTTTCAGAAAATGATTTTACTACAAAATTTCTACTGGTTCTTTTTTCCTCCCAGATGTCAGTCACATTCTTTGTATCTCCTTCACAGTGAAACTCTTCTCCCAAGCCTAAAAAAATCATACCTAGAAATCCTGCCAAAAATGACTGTTTCCACGACAACCAAAATAAGCAGACATAAAAAATGCCAAATGTAATTCAATACCTTTGAATTTTCTTTGAGTTCTGTGGAATCCTTTTATGTAATAGACAAAAAGGCCAGTGTTAGTTTTGTCTTCATGCTGGAATATATTTCCCATACACCTGTATTTTCACTTTTTTTTTTCTTTTTCATTCATTTCCTCTCCAGTCTACACACAAAAGATTAGTGTTTATAAATAAATTTGAGAGAAATTACAGAATCACAAAGTGGTACAATCTAATGCACCTGCAGAGAATTTGACAAATAAGTTTAGATCAAGAGTATCACCTCTTATATCCAATAATAATATCATTACCTTGCATTTTATAGTACTTTACAGTTCAAGCTACTTTCCCATTCACTATCTAATTTAATCCTAAGAATAATTCTTTTACAGGTATTTTTAAAATTGTAATCAAAGATCCTCAGAATAAAGCAACCTTCTTAGAGACAGCAGATGATGAAATCAAAATACAAGCCCAGAATTCATTACCCTTTATCCATTTTTACTATAACGTTTTATTGTTTTAGGAAGAGTTGCTAAAATTCCCTTAGTAACTTGTTACCTATCAGCTCTTAATGGTCATGATACTGTTCCAAATGCCTAAGGAACATAAATACGTCCTGCTG